ACCCTACCCAATGTCCATAACCCCCCCCAACCCTCCTCTGCCCAGCAACCCTCAGTTTGTTTTGTGAGATTAAGAGTCACTTATGGTTTGTCTCCCTCCCAATCCCAACTTGTTTCATTTACTCTTCTCCTACCACATTAACCCCCCATGTTGCATCTCCTCTCCCTCATATCAGGGAGATCATATGATAGTTGTCTTTCTCCGATTGACTTATTTCGCTAAGCATGATACCCTCTAGTTCCATCCATGTTGTTGCAAATGGCAAGATTTCATTTCTTTTGATGGCTGCATAGTATTCCATTGTATATATATACCACATCTTCAATATATCTTTTTAAGGGGCACAATTCAACCCATAGAAAAAGTGAGTTAAAAAAATTACAGATGCCAAATTCTGGACCCAGACTCAGTTGGTCCCTTCTTTTCCGAGTTGTTCTCACACTACCTGGGTTGATCAGTTTCTCAAATTACTTACAGAGCTCTCTAGTGTTTAGCAACTACTCAACTGCCTTGCACTTCAATAAAAGTTTTATTTTAAGTAGATAATAATTTAACTCATTTTTTCCCTTATATTCAGCTAGCCAGTATACAGTACACTATTAGTTTTTGAAGTAGTGTTCAACTAATGAATCATTGAAAAATTTAACTTCTATTACATACAAAAACTCTCCACTTTTACTTTCCTACACACATTTTTTGTTTTTGAGTCAGAATTTTCTTCTTATATTGTGTATTCATTAACAAATTTTTGTCTTTTCATTTTTATTTTTTATATATAATTTTTTATTTTTTAAATTTCTTTTCAGTGTACCAGAATTCATTGTTTATGCACCACACCCAGTGCTCCATGCAATACCTGCCCTCCATAATACCCACCACCAGGCTCACCCAACTTCCTACCCCCTGCCCCTTCAAAACCCTCAGATTGATTTTCAGAGTCCATAGTCTCTCATGGTTTATCTCCCCCTCCAGTTTCCCTCAACTCCCTTCTCCTCTCCATCTCCCCATGTCCTCCGTGTTATTTCTTGTGCTCCACAAATAAGTGAAACCATATGATAATTGACTCTCTCTGCTTGATTTATTTCACTCAGCATCATCTCTTCCAGTCCCGTCCATGTTGATACACAGTTTAAAATTTTCTTTTTTTATTATGTTCGGTTAGTCACTGTATAGCACATAATTAGTTTTTGATGTAGTGTTCAGTGATTTATTAGTTAAGTACAATTATTTATGCACCATTACAGTGTTACATTAACCTGTATTTATGTATTCATTTACCTTTTCCAGTGATATTTATGCATTCCTGTGATTTAACACTGCTGTTTTTATTGTGTTTTCATTTTATTTTAAGAACCCCCTCAAGCATATCTTGTAAGGGAATTCTAATGGTTATGAACTACTTCAATTTTTGTTACCTGGAGAAAACTTTATTTTTTCTTATATTTTTGAAAAATTTTTCCAGTTACTGTATTTTTGGTGATAAGTTTCTTTTAGCACTTTAAATATACCATCCTATTCTCTTCTGCTCTGCAAAGTTTCTGCCAAGAAATCTGCTTATTGTCTTATGGTGCTTTCTTCATATGTAACAAATTGACTTTTCCCTTGATACGTTCAAATATTCTCTCTGTCCTTGATCTCTGACAATTTGATTATAATGTATCTCAGTGTAGTCTTCTTTGGATTGATCATATTTGAGGATTTTTGAGCCTCATTAACGTGGTTATCAATTACCCTCCTTAGATTTGGAATTTTTCAGTAATTATTTCTTTAATAAAGCTTGTTTCCCCCTTTCTCTCTCTTTTTCTCCCCCCTGAAACTCCCATAATGCATATATCAGTGTGAGAGAAACAATATAACCTGATATTCTATAAATCCTGTAGGCTTACTTTCCCCTATTTCATTTTTTTCCTACTTCTACTCTGACTGAAAAATTTTAAATGACCTATTTTCAAGTTTGCAGTTTGTTCCTTCTTGATTAACTGTGTCTTATATTAAAGTTTCTATCATATTTTCTGTTTCTTTCACTGTATTCTTCAACTCCAGAATTTCTTCCAGAATCTCTTATTGACTTCTACCTCTGTTGAACTCCTCATTGTGTTCATGTATTGCTTTCCTGATTTCTTTGAGTTATGTTAAGTGTGTTCTCTTATAATTTATTCAGCTTGCAGAAAACAATTATTATGTAATTATTATTTGAATTCTTTGTCAGGCATTTCACCACAGATCTTCATTTCTTTAGGGTCAGTTTATTTTAAAAAAATTTTCCTTTTGTGTGGTGTTTTATTGATTGTTTATCTTCTCTCTGACTTTGCATTGCTATCTGCATATTTGAGGCGGTAGCATCTCTTTCAGATTTTATGGACTCACTTCAGTAAGGAAAGACCTTCATGTGCAGGTGGATACAAAGACATTGGCTGGGTGGGGTGTGGCAGCTCTGGCTCTAGGACAGTGAAATGACAGCTCCAAATCTAGGAATAGGGAGGCACAACATTGTTGACTTTGTGCAATTCTATCAGCTGAGATCGCCATTGGAAAAGACTGCCAGGTTCTTTGACAGACAAACCTGTGGTTGTCTGTGGTGGCAGTGAGAGCTGCTGGAGTCCTCACTGGAGAAGACTGCTGAGGTCTACGTGTTCTCCAATAACCCATGAGGGGAAGTTATGGTGAAAGGGATCTCTCCTGATAACACACTCTAGTGTGCATATACACACAAGGCAGTAGTGTTCATTTATAGACTTCAAAAATCTCAGGGACTTCATATAAATATGTATTATTATTATTTTCATCATTATAATTATTTTTATATCTGCTTATCTTCCGTACATCAAGATAAGGACAAATTGCCATCTTCAAGCTCAAACACAGTGGCTACTCTAGTTTCATTTCTACACCAAATATAACATTATACACAGATGGAAACCTAATACTTTATTTTATCACAATGATGGATGGATGGAGTTAGGACAGATTGTATTTAGCCAGGAAAATTAACTACTTACTACGTTAGAAATTAGGTAATCAGTCCATCTCTCAAAATGTCTTTATTGTCCTGTTATAAAGTAACAACTTAGAAATTTTGTACAGTTTTTCATAAACTGGTATACCTAAGAAAAATATGACAGAAATTACTGCTTGAACTCCCATTAATTTTTATTGGTAAAAAAAATATTTTTATATACAAGAGGTTTCCTGTCAAATGTGGTTATTTCTAAGACACTATAAGATTTGAAAGCCAATATGAAGTAAGAGGTGTTAGAACTGGGAAACTGATCATCAGTTTATTAGTGTATCCTCATGTAAAAACAACTTTTATTTGAAGGGTTTGATAAAATAAAATTTCTGCTACAGAATAGCATTAAAGAGGAGGAAGAATGTAAATAAAACAGACTCTGGACTTAACCAGACATGGGATTGAAATGTACCTCTGCCACTTACTAGCTTTGGGACTATGAGCAAAGCTGAACCACATTGTGCCTTTGTTTCCTTATTTGCAAAATAGAGTATTGAAAATGTCTTTTTTTTTCTGGAAATTTGGTAATAATTAAATATGTTAGCACAGGAGATAGATGAATAAATGCTGCACAACATTGAGATTACAATTAACAATACTGTATTATACACTTGAAAGTTGCTAAGAGACTAGATCTTACAGGTTCTCACCATAAAAAAATAATAATGTGATGTGATGGTGGTGTTAGATTAACGCTATGGTGGTATCATATTACAATAGATAAGTGTAACAAATCAACACACTTTACACTTTAAACTTACACAGTGTTATATATCGATTATATCTAAATTAAAAAAATGGAACTAAAGAACAAACATGGGAGATAGTACATAATAACTGGTAACTTATTATTCTTTGCTTAGTACCAATTTTAGTATTATCTATGTGTTGCTTACAGTTGCCACAAATTAAATAATGCATTTTTCCATTGATTTCCTGCTGTGAACACTGATTGAAGCCCAGCCCTCATTCCATAATTAACTCTGAACATTTTAATTTTAGATGAGGAGAGCTACACTGTATTAAAGTCAAAGTATTTTATTATACTGATCTGAGTCAGTTATTTCCCTCTTTAATTACCCTGCTTTTTTCCCCTCTAAAATAAAGTCCCACTGGGATTGAAATTCTAGGAACCTAAAAGAAGAGAGATAAGACTGCCACCAATCTACCTATCACATTATATTAAATTGAGCTACAGATTTAGATCAGAAACCTATGGCTTCTAAGACTATCTTTGGTTGCCCTTTCTTATTTCCCAATAAAATTAAGCCATAATTATTTATTTAATTGTTTATGTATCCATTAATGTATGTTGATATCTATAATCCAAGTTACTTTCAAAAGAGACCTGAGGGGTAGTCTTATGATCAAAACCAAGGTAAAATTATCACAAGATAAAGGAGAAAAAACAACTGGCAAGAAGGGAAAAGATATTCCATTCCACAGGCATCTTTCTCTTCCTTTCTTCTGCCTTTTTCTTTTCTTTGCTTTCTCTTTGTTCTACTTCTTTTCATTAGCCCTTGCCAATGACCTGAGTATGCCAGCACCTTTACTTAGCAAAGGAGGTTACCACCTAAAATGACTTCAGGTGAGCCAAGGTGGATTTTCAGAACTCTCAGAGGTACATTGTTGAGAGAAAGTTAATGTAAGAAGCCTGGGGTGAAACTGAAGGGGACAACATTTCAAAGGCAAAAGGTAAAGTAGCTAACACTATAAAAAATAAAAAAAAATAAATAAAAAGATATAAAAAATAGTAATTGATTCCACTATAAAAACAATGAAGGTAACTGCTTCCTGAAATGTAATTCTGATTTTAATGGTTTTCTAGTTTCACTGTACTAGTTAGAGGTAGGGTTAATCATCCTTATGCAATAACTGCTCAAAATCAAAGTATACAAATTATTCTCTCCTCTCCCCCTCATACTTTCTCTCTCCAATCTCAGAATACATTAGTGAGAGTCACCTATCTTGTAGTCCTGAAGACACTCACCAGTGTTAGAATTAAGATCATCAGGCTCTGACTCAGTCCCATTTTGGTTTCCATTTCCCTGAAGAGTGTTTATTGCCATAAGCTTCATCTTCTGCAGCTTCATTGCCTCAGCCATTGCTGCAGCTGTTATACCTAAAACGAGAACAATCCCTTTTAAAATGAGGACAATTTCTTAATGTAATTTAAAGCTGGATAACAGACCAATGCTTCATAGAACAAACCAAAAGAAATCCCTTATCTAATTTGTGAATAATGTTCTTTACCAAGTAATGTTCAACTCCTGTTTTTTTTTTTTAGTTCATCTTACAATGGATGGTTTAAAAATCTACAAAATCATTAAATGAATATTAAATTCCATATAAAATAACATTGTCAGAGAAAGCACTGTGAAATACTTGAAGAAATTACTTTTTAGTGAATGTATTGTTGGGATTTCTGCTAAAGGATGAGCTGTCTTCCCTGTGAGAATTACCTTAGAAGGGAGGGGGAGAGAGGAGGGAGAAAATGATTTCAGATTGTCTTTGTACCTTTTTCCTTACTCTTGCTTATGCATTGAGGAACCAAATAAATGAAAATATGACAAGTAATCTCTGAAAATATGCCAGCCCCCACAGTATAATTACATTCTTTTGTATTAATATAAAATAGTGTACCCCAATGTTTATGGCAGCAATACCCACAATGGCCAAAATATGAAAAAAGTCAAGATGTCCATCAACAGATGAATGGATAAAGAAGATGTGTGTGTGTGTGTGTGTGTGTGTGTGTGTGTGTGTGTGTGTGTAGATAGATTGATAGATATAAAGAATATTATTCAGGCATCAAAAAGAATGAAATGTTGTCATCTGCAACAATGTAGATAGAACTAGGGGGTATTATGCTAAGTGAAATAAGTCAGAGAAAGAAAATACTATATAATTTCATTTATATATGGAATTTAAGAAACAAAACTGATGAACATAGTGGAAGGGAAGGAAAAATAAGATAAAAACAGAGAGAGGCAAACTATGAAACCCTTAACTATAGGAAACAAACTAAGAAGGGTGAGCCATAGCAGGACTACCACCCATAAGAGCACAGAAGCATATGTGGAATCGCAACATGAAATTGGCAGTTTACAAAATGCTGGGGGAAAACAAGAAACAGATCTGTTCATACTGATTTAGTAGCATATTGGGGAACCTTGAAAATGAGAGAGTTGGGGAGGAAGCAAGATGGCGGAAGAGTAGGGGACCTAATTTCATTTGGCCCCTTGAATTTAGCTAGATAACTATCAAACCATTCTAAACACCCATGAATTCAGCCTGAGATGTAAGGAAAAAATATCTGGAACTCTATAAGTAGAAAAGTGTCTGCTTTTTGCAAGGCAGGAGGGGTAGAGAAGTGAATCTGAAGGGAGATATTGGAACATAAATGGAGAGGGGAGGGAGCCTCCATAAGTCGGCTACCAGAAAGTGATGTAGTCCCAGATGACAAAATCATAACTGTTAGAAATCTGTTCCAGTGAGAGACATCCCTGTCTGAAAGGGGCTCACGGGATGAAAGGGGCAGAATTCTAAGTGGGTCAGTGTGGTTTCAGCATCCCAGGGGTCACAAAACTAACAGGGGTGACTGAGCCAGTAAAGTGCCCAAGCAGTAGAGTGAGGAAACTGGTTACTGTCAGTTAGCTGGGTAGGGGGTCGGGGTGGAGGTGGGTAAGGGCTCTCAGCTCAGTCACCAAAAACTGCAAGCCAGGCCCAATTGGATGGCCACTCTCTGCCTGGGCACCAATAAGTAGAATGATACTCAGGGACCCTCCACCATCCCCTGGGAGTAGTGGAGCAAGTGCGTGCATCATCCCATGACAGCTCTCAGTGCCAAGGCCCTACAAAGGGCATTAGTGCAGTATCCTCAGACTCTCCCCAGGAGGACAGCCATGGGCACACACCACAGGAGTCTGCAGAGTTTAGCACAAACAATAGTGAAGATTGTTTGTCTCAGAGTGTTTACTGAGGAGGAGAGACTGTGATCTTTTGGTTCTGAGGCTGGAGATCAGGGCATGGCCATTTTTATTTTGATCCTCTAAAGAGGCACAGAAAGCCTTCAAGAAAAAAAAAAAAAAGCCACACAGAGGACCAGCATAACCTGAATTCAACCCTCTGGCAAGGGGTGGTGCAACTCTGCCCAGGCAAAGAAACCTGAGAAGCAGCACAGCAGGCCCCTCCCCTAGAAGAGCACATGCACAAGTTTACAGATCCCACAAGACTGTAAATCTCCAGTGCAGGGCAAATAGTATACAGAGCTTCACGACTTTTCTCATGATTCATTTATCTTTTAGTCTAAATTTTTCCAATTCTTTTTTTCCCTTTTTAACTAGTTTCTTATTTTATCAACTCTTCCTTTTTAAGACACTTTTTAATTTTTTCAAAGATTTTACTTATTTATTTAACATGGAGAAAGCACAGCAGGGGGAGCAGCAAGCAGAGGGAGAGGAAGAAGCAGATTTGCTGAGCAGGGAGCCTGATGCAGGGCTCCATCCCAGGATGCTGGGATAATGACGTGAGCTGAAGGCAGATGCTTAATGACTGAGCCATCCAGGCACCCCAGAAGCTTACAAATTATAGAGTAAAAGAGAATCTTGAGAGAAGCTCAAAACAAGAGGATCCTTACAGAGGGAAGAACATCAGACTAACATCATACATATCCACAAAAACCTGGCAAGCCAGAAAGGGATGACATGATATGTTCAGGGTACTATATGGGAATAACATGAAGCAAAGAATACTTTATCCAGCAAGGCTATCATTTAGAATGGAAGGAAGGATAAAAATCTTCCAGGATAAACAGAAACTCAAAGAATTTGTGATCACTAAATGAACCCTGCAAGAAATACTAAAGGGGCTCTTGTAAGTGAAGAGAGAACCCAAGAGTAACATAGATGAGAAAACAAAAACAAAAACAAAAATAAAAAACAGACAATCTACAGAAACAGGAACTTTACAGGCAATACAATGGCACTAAACTCATATCTTTCAATAGTTACTCTGAATGTAAATGGGCTAAATGATTCAGTCAAAAGACAAAGGGTAGAAAATTGGATGAAAAGGCAGGACCCATCCATATGCTGTCTATAAGAGATTCATCTTAGACGTAAAGATACTTCCAGACTGAAAGTGAAGGGGTAGAGAAATATTTACCATGTTAATGCACCTCAAAAGAAAGCTGGGGCTGCAATCCTCATATAAGAAAAATTATATATTAAACCAAAGACTGTAGTAAGAGAAGACATGTATCATACTTGAAGTGTTTATCCAAGAAGAAGGTCTAACAATTGTAAATATTTATGCCCCCAACATGGGAGCAGCCAGTTATATAAACCAATTAATAACCAACAAGAAGAAACACATTGGTAATAACACACTAATAGTAGGGGACGTCAACATCCACTCACAGCAATTGACAGATAATCTAACCAGAAGACCAAAAAAGAAACAAGGACTCTGAATGACATATGAACCAAATGGACTTCACGGATATATATAGAACATCCCATCCTAAAAGAACAGAATACTCATTCTTCTCAAGAGCACATGAAACTTTCTCCAATATAAATCACATACTGGGTCACAAATCAGTTCTCAGCTGATAGCAAAAGATTGGGATTATTCCCTGAATATTTTCAGACCACAATGTTTTGAAACTTGAACTCAAACACCAGAGGAAATTTAGAAGGAACTCAAACACTTGGAGGTTAAAGAGCATCCTACTGAAGAATAAATGGGTCCACCAGGAAATTAAAAATGAATTTAAAAAAAAATCATGGAAACTAATGAGAATGAAAACACATCTGATCAAAACTTATGGGCTAGGGGCGCCTGGGTGGCTTAGTGGGTTAAAGCCTCTGCCTTCGGCTCGGGTCATGATCCTAGGGTCCTGGGATCGAGCCCCGCATCAGACTCTTTGCTCAGCGGGGAGACTGTTTCCTCCTCTCTCTCTGCCTGCCTCTCTGCCTTCTTCTGATTTCTGTCTGTCAAATTAAAAAAAAAAAAAACAAAACTTATGGGCTATAGCAAAGGTGGTCTTAACAGGGAAGTACATTGCAATATAAGCCTCTCTCAAAAAATTAGAAAGATCTCAAATACACAAACTAACATTATACCTAAAGGAGCTGGAGAAATAACAATACATAAAGTTTAAAAGCAGAAGAAATAGTGAATATTAGAGCAGAAATCAATGAAATAGAAATCAGAAGAACAGTAGAACAAATAAACAAAATTAGAAGTTTTTTCTTTGAAAGAATTAAAAACATTGATAAACCTCGTGCCAGACTTACTCGAAAGAAAAGAAAAAGGACCAAAATTAATTAAATCATGAATTAAAAGGGAGAGATCATGACAAATAGAAAGGAAACAGACAATTTTAAGAACATATTATGAGCAAAAAATATATCAACAAATTAGGCAATCTGGAGAAATGGATGCATTCCTGGAAACTTACAAAATACCAACACTGGAATAGGAAGAAATAGAAAATCTGAGTAAACCAATAAATAGCAAACTGAAGCAATAATCAAAATCCTCCCCAAAAAATAACAGTCCAGGACCAGATGGCTTCACAGGGGAATCATACTAGACATTTAAGGAAGAAATAATACATATTCTACTGAAGATGTTTCTAAAAATAGAAATGAAAGGAAAACTTCCAAAGTCATTCTATGAGGCCAGCATTACCTTGCTCCCAAAACCAGACAAAGACTCCATCAAAAAGGAGAATTACATACCAATATTCCTGATGAATATGGTTGCCAAAATACTCAACAAGATACTAGCCAATAGGATCCAACAGTACCTTAAAATATTTATTCACCATGACCAAGTGAGTTTTATTCCTGGGATGTAAGGATGGTTCAACATTCGCAAATAAATCAGCATACTAAAGCACATTAATAAAAGAAAAGTTCCTCTCAATTGATGCAGAAAAAGCATTTGACAGGATAGAGCATACTTTCTTGATTAAAACTTTTCAAAGTATAGGGATAGAGGTAACAAACCTCAATATCATAAAAGCCATCTATGAAGAGCCCACAGTGAATATGATTCTCAATAGTGAAAAACTGAGAACATTTCCCCTAATGTCAGAATATGGCAGGGATG